TTACAAATTTTTCACTACATATTTGATGATATAAAATAGAATTGAAGCAACTATCATATTATATTCTAGAGCTTAGATTTTTGCTATACCGTGTACAACTTCGAGCACACGAACCCTTGAACCCTTCAATTTGCAAACTAGAAGACAGAGGACGAATGGGGAGGAATCTTATTTCTAACAGTGTTAAATATGGTACAAAACACTCAGGTATTTATAGTTTTTAGTAAAAGAAAACGAAATCATCACTACAGTCATCCAATAGGCATGCAGGGGTTCTTGGCATTTGTCCAATTAGGAAGCTACATGTCGAGAATCCTCCCAAAAGCTAATTGGATGGAATATCTTTGGCTCTTTCAGAGCTTCCTTGAGTTCACCTGAGAGCCTTCCTCACATATCGGAAATAATCTCCGCTTATTATACTACAAGCTAATGGTTCATTAGTTGGATAAATGCTTCTAGCTGGAAACATAAGCTGAAATGATAAATTGTTTAAAAAGCTATTCATCATTGTTGAACAGATCAAGCAGATATTTTGTAAGTAACAAATTAGTCAGAAAATGAATATGGGAGAAGACAAGTGTAATGTTTTCAAATATTCGATAATTCATTACTAACTAGAGTTATATTTATATAATAACTCATTAATTATTATTTTCTCTAAAGTATAGATTTGTTAGGTTTATAAGAATCATCCTAAACAATATGGTGTTTAATATTCTAGCAGTTAAAACAAGTCGTTTTGAAAAACTAAAATCTAAAAAAGAACTTTTTTTCTAAAAAAAGTGACATGGAGTAAACCAACACCATTAGGTAACTTATTACAGAGAACATGGAAATACTTCTTATAGTTACTGGTAAACTGTTTCGCTTTCAGCATCTATCACAAATGTATACGTATTTAATAATTCAAAACATTGTTAATTAATATTTGTATTTATAACTTCCAGTTGTTAATGTTGGGGAAAGCACCTAATGAATTTCTTTTTGACACTTGTGAATTTTGAACAGATTTCCTCGATTTGACTATGTTTTCTATTGTGGACCACGGGGTGACTACTCTAATTTCTACCGACTTACCAACTTCAGATATCCCAGTACGACCCCAGTACTGTTCCCTAATCTCCAATATATCAGAACACGAACCGTAGATGAAATTGTTTATCGGGTCAGGAGAAGAATAAGAATAGGAATGATACTTTACAGAAAAATGCATATTTATACAGTCAGGACTACCGTGAATATTGACCAACAGGAAAATGACACGTAAAATAAATATTGACCAGTAGGAAAATGACACCATTTCACGTTCAAGGATAGCATTAGACTTAACAGGATAATTTTCGGGATATTTTTCTGAACATCCCAAAACTGTCCTAGATTTATGAGCTTGTCATCAGACTAATTCTAAATCAAACTGGACAAATATATCCAAATGAAAACTATAATTTGTTGCTGAGTACATCATACAAAATAATGATAAATCTGAATTGTTCTAATCTCAGTATCGATATAGGTACGATAAAGATAGTCACTACTATTAACAATAACATTCGGGAATTTCATTTCCAAATTAAACTTTCGATTAATTTAGTCAATTGTTATGTGACTACTTTTGAAATTTATTCAGATAAATTACAGAGAACATGAGGTTGTGTCGAAGTGTTGTACCACTCTAAAATAAACAAATAATGTCAATTTCAAGATATGACTACATTACATTTTCATTAAAACCCTGGGTGACTGAGACTATTTACAGATTAAATTACCCTTCTTCAAAGACCAAAGCTTAAACAATAAACATGAAAAGAATCAAGTCATGTGAAGCATATAATCTGAATGTTTTTTCTGGTCGATTTCTTAATAGTCCGATCATAAGATAATTTTCATTTTTACCCTATTGCATAACACAGATTCACTATCCAGGGGAGTTTGAAATACAAGTGTAAATTTATTTTTTAAACCGACTGAAATTTGTAGTTTTTCATATCGACCCCAGATCAGATTATTAATCATTTTGATTGTTTCACATATATATTCTTTTCCTTTTTATATTTTGGCACTGTACAATATGTGTGTTTTTTCTCGGAATAATAAAAGAAATAAGTTCTACTGATGAAGGCAACTAGTCAGTAACAACAATGACAAGGAACCAATAGTTTAAGAATTAGTTTATATACTGTAATTGTTATTTGGATACTAAACGTTTAGAAAACTCAAATTTATTTATTATTTTCATTGTTATTTTACAAGAGCAATATTTTATTTTACATTTTGATTTTGATTCATTCATAGAATGATGAATTGAAAGCATGTATTGAAACAAGTCGTAAAATGGAATTACGTTTTGGTCATTGGTTTGATAGAGTTATTATTCCTGAAACATTGGATTCAACTGTTACAGAATTAATTCGTTTAGCTATTAAACTAGAACGTGAACCAACTTGGGTACCAAGATATTGGTTAGATTTGGATTAAATCACTGTTTGTATGGTTTTTCTGTATTACTTTTAAATCTGGCATTTCTTCTTTTTGTTTTCTTTTCTATTTACTGTATATTATCTTATGAATAAACTGCTGAAAACTAAATTGATTAGTAACATGGTTGTATACACGAACAACAAAACAAAACATATCAACAGTTTAATATTGCTGATCTTAACAATGAAAATGTTTTTTTTTTCGTCTTTTCTTTTTAGGGTGTACTTTTCTATTTACCGTTTTGTGTATTATCGATTATTTTTTTTGTAAATGAATAGTTACCTTTTACGAGACTTAATTTTAATTACTAGTGTGGATACTAATTGTTTTAACTTATTAATTTATTATTATTGTTGTTATTATTTTATATTATTATTTTGATTCATTGTTTCTACTTCGTTCATATTTTGTTTTGTACGAATATGTAATTATTTGATCAGTTTTTTTATACAAAATAATGATGCAGAATAACAGATTGAATAGTTCATTTCACTTGGTATTGTTTGTTTGAATCTTCCTATTGTTATTTAGGATTGTAATTGATCAGTCTTTTATTGGTATACATGCATATTATGTGTATTGCCTCGATATAGCCTTAATTTCAAGCCTCAGAGTGAACATTTACTCTGAGATGTAGGTACATCCAGCTGACGAGTCCCAAATAGGACGAAACGCTCGTCCTGGATTCCACTGTTAGCCACTATCCATCTTTGAATAGATTAAATAATTGTTTTATTGAATTTATGAAATAATAATTAATTTGTAATAGAATTCTCTCAAATGGTGGTGTGTACTACAATAGTAATTTTCCGTCTTGACGATGTAAAGTTTGTCAATTATAAAAAGAATAAGGGCGCTTTTCAGTTTATTAGTGATATTGGACTGTAAATTTTGTTTCGTGTTTCAATTTAGTGTTTTACACATTATTGTGGTTATAAACTACATATGTACAAACGATTAGTTGAATAGGATATATTATAATTTCTGTAAAATGGATATGGAAAAACCTGAAAATTCATATTAAACATTCATTTCAAGTTGATCAGTAAGATTTACGGATAGTTTCATGAAGTGGGAGTGAAATATCATTTAAGGCTTATAATGAATGAAATTTTTTTAGCTAAACTAAATAGTAATTGACTTGAAGATAGAATTTTAAAAAAAAGAAATTGTACCATCGAACCAAAAGTGAATTACACTTTAATTCGTTTGATGTCAACCTACTTGAAAGGTGTTCGTTCACTTGACAATTCATCTGTTCTGCAATAGAGTTAAGAATAGCTTCTTTTTAAAAATTTTTTTAGACAATTTGTTGACAGATAAAGAGTTTCTCACAAAAAGGATATTCATATGAATCTGAAAACCATAATATGGTTAAGAGTCTTGTGACTTTAAGTCCGGCTTGTTATTATGTAATTTATGTGCCAATCGAAATACGACTTGTACTGTATTAAACCAATGACGTGCAACCGGTCCGGTCAGCCTATCGGTCCATTGCTCGCCTAGCCCGTCCAGTTGAGTTCAGAACACTAATAACAGCTTCCGCTGTACGAATCATTTATTTCAGACATACCTGGTTTATATATCAGTCAAACAGACCGCAACGCACCATAAAATAGGAAGTAACATTTATACACATTAAAGCCAAAAGAGGCTGTGAACATGGGAGACTGTAATCAATAAACTGAACAAAACTTAAAAACAGTAAATCGTACAATAACAATCTATTGACCAAAATGAAGCTTATAATAGGGGAAATATAGATATACATAATCTCATTACTGAATAGTCATACCACAAGAATATGTACGACAATATTGGTACATTAAGAGTGTTATATCTTGTGAAATCTGTGTGCCCTGTTTATTGTATGACACAATGATACCGCCAATTATAGAGCAGCGAATTATCGATTGAACCAGTGACGCAGAAAACACGTGCGAGCGACCCAGAGTCCTGATTGGTCCTGCTTCCCTGTCCAGCACAGCCAGTTGAGTCCAGAACACTAATCTCAACCTCTGTGATGTGAATCTTTTATTTCAAACATACGGGGTTTATATTACCAATCAAACAGACCACAACGTACCATAAAATAGAAAATAACATTTGTACAATATTTGGCCAAAAGTGGCTGTGAATGAGGGATATAGTAATTAATAGACAGGCCATAACTCGAGAATGGTAAAACGTATAATAATAGTTCATAGGTCAAAACAAACTCATAATGAAAGGGATATGAATATGAACAGTTTGATTACATAACAATTACACGATAAAAATATACTCATAGTATTGGTCCATAAGTGGATCTCAAAAATTACCATTCATTATTCTTATCGAGATCTAACAAACAGGTCTCACGAGTCACACGTACTTTAATCTTCGTTAAGATATAACAAAGAGATCTTTAGTTTTACGCATATAAAATAATAAATATTGTTATAAAATGACTCATCTATAAGACAAGATCAGTTTAGTCTAAATTATGTATCGAAAGTGTTTGTAAATGCATCCTTGATCATTTATACTTTTTTTCTTAAAAAAATCATAAACTTTATACAAATAACATAAAGAAACAATTTTGTGCAAATGTAAATTCTTGTATACCTACATCATAACAGATACATTTTTGAAAAGATTTTTTTTTGTTGTTGCACAAAAGTAATTTAATATTACATAGATACCTGTGAAAAAGTTAATTGGAATTTCATAAACATGAGCTCTTGATTAGTTTATGATATTTTCAACATGCAAGACACAATATCTTCATAGGGGATTCATTTTCAAATTAGTAACTATTGTTAAGTGGATATGAGAATAAAAATTATGTGTTGGTGTTGTGTTTTTTTTTTTTGTTTTTTTTTCAAGAATATCGGTTATACAAACTTGTCAGTTTGAAATAGTGATACTCATTACTTAATCGACAAGTAGATACACTAGTATTTTAACTCATTCAATGACAATAAATAAAGAAACTCATGATAATATGTAATTTATTTAGTTTTTCTTCAATCCGTCATTCTCTGAATGATTGGATAATTATGAAATGTGTATGGATACTTTAAGTTGTTATGTAATTAGCTATTGAACAGAGTAAATTCACATGGTATTGTTTTACTTGTATCTTCCCATTGTTATTTAGCACTGAGATTGATCAGTTTCGTGTTGGCATATGTGCATCCAGTACGGATGCCTCGATATAGCCTTAAGTCACAAGCTTTTTAAACAAAGATGAATAGTGGCCAACAGTGGAATCCAGGATGCGCGTTTCGTCTTATTTGGGACTCGTCAGCTGGATGCACCTGCGCTCCAGAGTTGGTGTTCACCCCGGGACTTGAACCCAGTACCATTCGCTTCAAACGCCATCGCGTTATCCACTTAGCTACCGGGTCCTGACGAGTCCCAAATAGGACGAAACGCGCGCCCTGGATTCCACTGCTAGCCACTACTCATCTTTGCTTAAAAAGCTTATGAACAGAGTAGTCTAAAACGCTAAAGCCTATGAAATAAATTATTCTGCTATTGTATAGTTATGAGTAGAGTAGTGTTTCTTATTAAAACGTGGATACATGAACTAAGAATATTCTTGTCCATCGATTCTCTTCAGGTTCAACAATTATATATTCAAATTAATTATACAAAAAGTGAACATGTTTAATGTAAGTATACATCATTTAAAGTTAAGGTATATGAATTAAGAATTGTTTATAATTTATAAATAAACAATTCAGCAAAGAACATTTTCTTTATAACGAAATCATTGACTTAAGCTGTACATCAGTATTTATAGTTGTATGGTAATTATGTATTATATATATAATGCCGGTGTCAGTGAATAATTCACGATTTGCAACACTAATGTCATCAGTCTTTAGGAAATTAACTATTTTTTGGAACGAGGAGTACTCATTGAAGAAATTCAGTATTTCCTTTTAAAACAGACGTTTAATGAAGACGAATTTCGTAACTTTTAAGTAAACATAGATTGTGTGATTGAAATAAAAAGACTACTAAAGTACATGACTTTCGTCACAGTACTAATTCTAAAAGGTGATAATGGAGACATTTCTTGAAATAAAAAGAATATTCCACAAGACAGTTAACTAAATTTTTTAGTATCCATTCGTTCTAACTTCACAATAAACTATAATAAGTTACTGAATATTACTTATTAACAATCAATTCTACAAATAGTGTCTATCACATGTAATACTAATCTATAAGTCATTTGTACAGTTTTATCCTTCCTAAGTAGTTCTCACGAACTGACCAAAAATAATATCGATCAACTACTATATATCACATAACTGACAAGTGTACATTTTGTAACATTCCTTAATTATAAGGCAGCAGGTCAATATACTGTTGGTATTTTGTGAATGAAAACACAGGTTGAGATAACCAATTGTATTTTAATACAAAATTACAGAGTAGCTTGGTAAAATTTGAGAGCTATACATAAAATACTTCATTTTCAAATATTTCATCAACTGTTTTTATATTCTGTATGATTCTTCCAATTCACGATTCCTTCCTATTTTCCTTTCTGTTTTTAATTCGATCTACTTAGTTTTCTGCTGCCATGTATTTCACTTCTGATTGATGTTATATACTCTCTATGTCTGTCGACATAAGTAGCATACACCACAGGTAAAGTGAACTGAAAGTTTATTTTTATTTAAGATAAGTGATTTTACGTATATTGTAAGCACAACAGATATTTTTGATAGACAGCTTGAGATGAATTATAGTTCGAATCCTTTGAAACGTAGCTGACTACATCGAGCTTTATATTTTACTCTAAGTTATTACCTTAATAGTTACCTTCTTCAAATCCAACAGTGGATTTTATGAAAATGCCTTACTGCAGTCAAAGACAACTTGTTCAGAGACAACAATGTTAGACCAGTATAAATAACAATTTCTCACATAATTCTACTGTCATTTGAAGCAGACTACCTGGATAGTTAGGCCTACGGTTTTTTATTCTCTATATAAACTAAGTTTGACATTATTCTAAAGCATTAAATCAACTACAAGTATATTCTAACCCACAGACTACGAAAGACATACTCGGTTCATTTAATGTATGACATGCTCTATTTTCTATCCACTAAGACATCAAAATTACGAGAACTGATAGCATTCAAACTATTATTTTGTGATTTTACACTATTACGGACATATATTATGTAGACTGCTTACAATACACGAGAATAAACGCAAAATGCAACCAAGTAGATATTAGTATAAATGGTTTGTGGAGATCGTTTTTTGTAGTTTGTGTAACTGACTGACTTTAGTTAAGTCATCAGTAGAGAATAGGATGAATTAAGTAAGTATTCCGTTATAGTATGGGACTTCTTAGAAGTTTACAACCTCTAACTTACCAGGGATCAAACCCAAAAACTTTAGATCACACTTAGTCTTCCGATTACTCAGCTGAGACACAATTACTTAAATCTCAATAATTGAAGTCATGATTCAATTGAAGCCCGACTACCATGGAAGACCTGAAAGCGCTGTACGGCCGTTTCGTCCCATTGCGGGACTCCCCAGCAGTACGCATCCACGATCCCGCCTCGCGGGATTCGGACCCAGGACCTGGTTTCGCGCGCGAGCACTTAACAACTAGACCACTGGGCCGGCATCGAACGGTGTTAATGCTAACTTCAACTAGTCCACGGAATTGAGCGACACATATACCGTTGTCATCAGTGAGTTACTATCCCACAACAGACCCGGTCGAACTCCATTGGTCACTGCTTCTCATTAGAACTCCAGGAAATAACTCTTGAAGTCAATCACTAGTGAGCATAGCCTCACGCGCGAGACTGATAGACCCTGGGTTCGAATCCCGTGAGACGGGGTCATGGATACGTACTGCTGGAAGTCCCACAATGGGACGAAACTGCCTTTCAGTGCTTTCAGGTCTTCCATGGTGGTCTAGCTTCAATTGAATTATGATTTTAACTATTAAAATAGTGTGGGAGAGAACAAACCACCTTCTAGCTGAAGAAGAAATTAGAAAAATACTTTGGAATTGGATGGGACATATATTAGGGAAATCACCCAACTTCATCACGAAGCAAGCTCTAACTTGGAATCGTGAAGGGAATGGGGAAAAAGGAAGGTCAGAGGACACATTACATCGGGGAACAGAAGCATATATGAAAATGATGAATAACAACTGGAAATAACTGAAAAGAATTACTCATGGGATGGTTGGATGAAGAGTGCTGATAGACGTTTTATGCTCCTCCACGAGGACTAACAGACGTAAGTAATTTTATTTGTATTTTAAGTTGACGAAAACAAAACTCCTAGTAGAATTTATCCTTATAATGAATTTTATTCCTTATGAAATATTAAAACTTTTTTGCATGTATCAGTTTTCTTCTTCTCTTTTCTGTTTTACGATGGTTGGATGTTGTAGAATTAATGTTATATGATTATGGTTATCATTTATGATAATCCGGTGAAACCCATTCATGAATAAGAATTTTCATTCAACTGTTTCATCTACTCCACAAGAAAGCAGTAACGAAATTCAAAATTTTTTCGCTAATAGTAATATTAGAGTTTGGAATGGAATTTAAATAGGGCACTTATCTGACATACAATTCGAATATAATTCGAAGGATATTTTATATTAGTAAATTGTCAGTCATTAAAGCTTTCAGTTTTATGTTATTTGTAAATATGGGTTGAACAGACACTTTTTAAAGCTTTATATTGCATACTTACTGGAAGTAAACTATACGACCAACCTTGAACCGATTCTCAGCCAATGAGGAAAAGTGTTCAATTCTGAAGTAATTTATGATAAAATAGTAATAAAATGACAAGAATATAGAGTTTTGACATGATTGATGGATCATTTTCGTGTAAATTCTTTATAATATTAAATAAAAATACTATAAGGTAAGAGTTAAGGGTTTTGAATCATGGTTGTTTTTATCGCTAACTAACATTATTTATGATGAAAGTATGGATTTCACGCAAAAATATAGGATATAATATCTCAAACCTGATTGTGATACAATGTTCAAAGACTAGACCTGACAGGTTCTAATTGTTTAAGGAATGAGCGGCCTACAAGCCAATTTATTCCAATCACCTAAGGAATTTTACCATGTTTATTGTGTGTCCATACTTTGAATACAAACATGTTTTTGTAACATGAAAAACCATTCACCTGGCCATTGATCTTGTCGGTTGTCTAATCATTTAACGCTTAATTCAATTATACGACCTCATGAGTGATCATGGCTCGGACACGACATATTATTGCGCCGACCTATCGATTAGCATTCTATTCATCGATTTTACCAGTCAAAAGCTCATCTAATCAAAATAAAGAAATCTTCCATCGATTGAGTATGGTACAAACTCAAAAGTAACAGATAACCCCGACAATCCTGTCAGTGTGTTTTGTACTTTAAGTCTATTTGTTTTCTAGAATTCTTCCTCAAAAAAATTATTAGTTTTCCCATCGTTGTTCTAGAGATCGCTCAAGTTCATTCCTTTGCGTTAATCGTATCATAGTTATCAATTTTCTTCATCTAAGTTGTGGGAATTTGGCAAATTTTGATGAGTTCTTATCTAGCTCTCAACAAGTTACATCTATCCATTATTGAGTATTGAATTTCACCTTAAACTCCTACAACTACAATCATGAATCTGAGTAGTTCGGTCGTATAGATTTCTACTGCCAAATGCCTCAGATTATTGTTCACATGGTGGTAGAAATACTGTAATTATCTTGTTTGACATGAATATTAGATAAAATATATCTCAGGTGTTACAATATGGCAGTTTGTGTTTTTATTTGTAGCTTGCGTTAGGCTTTTATGTAATCATTTGATTAAAGAAATACGTCCCAATAGAGATGTACAACAAAAAGACATTGGCTCGTTTCTCAGTTTAGGCATCAATAGTTCATTTTTATCTTATATAATACAATGATAATTTTGACATTTTATGATGGATTCTTTCACTTACTGATATAAGTTAAGGATACTCACTCTCGTTAGCGGACCAGTTTCCTTAACGTACTATTCACTTGACTGAATTTTGATTACAATAAATCGTTAAGTGGTGAACACTACCACTATATTTTTGTACGTTCAAGTTATTTTATATACGGTAAAAAAGCTGAAGCATGGTTTAGTTTCCAAGTGTGTTTGCAGTAGACAGTTTTGTTCTAGTCGTATTAAGCAGCATAAGATTGCGAATAGAGTTTTCTGGTTCTAAAATAGTTTTCAAAACAGAATTTTCCAAACAAGTTACAAGGTAATTTTTCCCAATTATTTATTGGTATTCAAAGGATAGATTTGGTACATGCATGATCGCTTGATTACCATTATTAACACGTATTTACAAGCGAACAAATATTGGTGACATTGCCTTCATGCGTCGAGTTTATTTTTCCAGTCAGATGAAAGGAACTTTTATTCGCATAACCACTTCTAGTAATAAAAGTTGTCAAAATATATGCTTAAGACTAAAGTCGAAACCAACCTTTACCCATTACCGGAAGTGAAAATTAGCGGTGAGATATTTGTGCCGAATAAAACTGTATATAATAAACCTAAAGTGACCTCCTAATAAATGTTGTAACGTAAGTCCCTAGATTGACGATGGAACTCGGTGTTTTTAAAGTCGTTGTTACGTAAAAGCTTTATGACCGCAAACTAAAATATGTACTGTTTAAGACGATACACACAATCTTAACTTCAAAAGGCCCATTATAGCAATATCATTGCTACTCTGAATGGTGAACAATTATTAACAGTAGCTAATGAATTGAAACGAAATATGATCAGAAATTTTTCTGGATAGATGGGTGGTTAATATAATTTAGTCGCCAAAATGTTGCCTTGATTTTTTTAGAATATACGGTAAAAATAAAACAAATCCCACAGTATGACATCGTTGAATGTTTGATGGTCCTTATTTTCCTTGTTATATAGAAGATATATTACAGCTACAACTTTAAGTCTAAATTTTAATGCGATTTTCTAAGCCATATTATTTCACAGAAAAATGTATTAATAATGAGAGTTAAATGGAAGGGATATAACTTATTTGTCATCAATACTATTAAATATATTGCTTCATGCGATGATGTAATACAGAATGTTAAGTTGAAAATGCATTCAATTATAAGAAACCTTACATTTTCGATTGCGCGCTTTTGAGTAAGAATCAAACGAACCATTGAGTATTTCAGTCATTCAATCTTTATCCCAGCCCTACTTTACATGGTGGTTAACATTTCAGTATTCTGCTTCCGTCTGATTACCAGCCCATTTTTAGTTTCACTATTTCATTTATAACACTTTGCTCCGTGTCAAATTCTAGATGCCTGAAATCAAAGCAAATAATGAATCTACATTTTCTTGACAATCATTCCAATTGCATTTTACTGTTTTGAATTCTGAAACACTATATTTATAGGTATGCCTTGGCTCGGCAGAGAGTCAGCTCTCCCTCTTGAAATGCTCTCACATGGCCACGCGTACACAGCTTATGTAAGGGAGGCCCTGATCACTGCCGTTTCGCGACGGAAGTATTGTTTACGAAATTAAGAGGACGAAAAGCGAATACCTGGCGCTTTAACGGGGTCGGTGGATATAGAGGATCGACAAAGGCGAGTTGGAAAACCCTGATTCCCAATCAATGGGCTCCAGGATCCTAAGGGAAAAAGTGGCATACCAACCTATCTTTGAGCAATGCCTACCGTGGGACTGCATCTCCTAATGTTGCTCCACTACTTTGTGGATTAGACCTCTAGGTCAAAGGTTCGGGGAGTGACCCCTAAGGAAACCACCTGCTTCGGTCTGGGCTTCCGGGAAGTGTTCCAGCCCTCACACAAATCGGATGACGAAGTGTGGCATATATATATTTGGTGCCTCCTTGTACCAATGTTCATGTGTTTAAATAAATAATAAATAAATAAATGGTCATATATTTGCATGTTATAGAAGTAACAGTAAGGAAAAAGAATGTTTAGAAAATTGATTAATAGCTTACAATAAACTATCTAATGGGAAAAATAACGAAAGAAAACAAAATTAGTACCAATAATAATATTGGCATCATTTGTAATAATTTTTTCTAAATGTCATTACAAGTAAGATTTTCCATTACGAACAATAGGTATTATCATTAAAAAAAAAGTTCCCAAATTTTTTATCATCGGTGTATAGGCACATTATTACAATATATATGCTATTTTTTCATAAAGTAATAGAGAAATAATCTGTTTAATAAACGTAAGGAAAAGATGATAATTAATTACATTTGATTATACAAAAATATCAAGAACGAGATACAGAAAATAATAAACAAATCTCAAACTAGAACCATTCATGATTTGTGTAAAAGCATTTCATTGAAATATATTATAAGATATATATAATTATCTAATTGTCTCATATGCTGATCGTTTGCTAAGACGACTGCACAAATATATTAAAAGAATAACAAGACCTATCAGAAGTAGGGTGGTGCATACAATTGTTGGAACCTTCTTTAACCATATGATACTCAATGGACAGTCTATGGCTAAAAATGTGTAAAAATATTAGAAATTAGACAATCTATAAATAATTATTTCGAAATAATTTGATGATATCGTGTCCTATGAGCGTCGATCATTTAATTGTAAAGGGTCCATTGTCTCTCTGGACAAAATCACTGGGGGTTAATTCAAGTTTATTTGAACGTTGAAAATGTTATTGAAACTGAAAGCTGTACAGTTAAACCATTCAACTCAGCGAACATAGATAGCACCACCAGAATTTTCTATTTAAGATAGATTCTCTCTATTGTTACGCAGAAACATTCCATATATCATAGCTTATATTATTTTTAATATGATGGTTCAATAATAGATAATGTCATAAAACATACCGAGCATTTTATTCGGGATTTTTTCCAGTTCGTACCTAAGAAAATCAGATTGTTAAATTATCGAATTTCTAAACAGTGATCTATATTAAATGGGAAATTAGTACGACTAACAATACAGTCCGACTTCATAACAGATCTAGTTGGAACTAGGCAGTCAGCTACAACGTAGGACCAGGCAGCATCGCTGTCATGCTGGTTGTCTGAAAGAAACACCTTACTGCTGTCACACTTCTGTACAGTCAGCAGTACAACTTCGCCTTCGGACCTTGGGTTTGTTGCTTTTAGTCTTACCACTCTTCAACCGACCTGTCTGACATGATAGGACCTTGAGGAACGATTGTTCCAGCCAGTATAGCTCGGTTGCTTCATCACGATAGGCAAGACCGACCACCACGTCAAGGTAGCAACAACAGTCGGGGTTGGGACTAGTGGAAACATACTTAATAAGACCGCATATGTATGTGATATAGAACTTGGAGGAATGTGAAAATCAGTTTGATACATTAATGATCAGAATTAAAATCAGTCTAGACTTTCTGTTATTTTTTTGCTTCACTTTGCATTTCGGAGAACCGTTTTCATTTAGTTTATTTCTTTATGACTTCGACGAGAACTTTCTGTTCTCTTTGATAAACTAAATGAATAATGAAGAAAACCGGACTTTTTACAAATATTAGGTAACATTTATAGCGATAAAATAATAATACATTTTGTTATGTACCAATTTATAGGAAACTAAATTTCCGAGGTTTGTATATCCTACGTCATGATAAAAATGTTTTTATTAAACAAATGAATGTCATTATATTAAAATATTGAACTTATTATCTAGTTGTACACCTGTGTAACCACAGAATTCCCAGTAAGATTTACGACAACTATGCTACTATCCCAACATTAAAGGACAACTCTGGCACGTTTAATGACTTTAATTAGATGTTAGTGTCTGTGAAACGAACACATGTTATTTATAAAAAAAATAAAATTTAGTAAGAAAAATATTTATTTGCTTAAGGAAAAATCTAGTTTTTAAAAGAAAAGTCATTTAGTGGTATATTTTCAGATGCTTTTGTTAAGTCTTACAACGGACCAATAAGCGTAGACGATCTTGAGCAACCAATACGCAGCAAGGACGAGGGAGACTGATACTCTATGCTTGATGATTGATTCAATACTAACTGGCCGCGAACGAAGAGGAAGAACACAAGGGCGGTGATCATCAGTACAAGATCGCCATAATATTTCAGACATTCATTTATATGCATACAAAACCAGATCACGGAACAACAACCTTAATGATGGGAAAAACGGAGTACCGTGTACACAGATAATCGATTATAAACAACGTTTTGAAGACTATAGCACCATTCTATTGTTGAAATAAAAGCTTGGAACAAGGGTAATGCGAAAATGATACAACCAAAATACATAATAAACATGTGGCCAATATAATTGTAGAAAAATAGCTTTGGAAGATTTTACCTCATAGTTAAATGGTCTATTAAAACAGCTTTATATTTATACACTCACCAAGACCCATAAATTCTGAACGATTTTCAAGTCTGAATGCTTCCATTGATGAGTTTAAAAAATTAATATTGATTTTTATATTATCATTATCGTCCACGAATAGTTCTCTATGTAAATGATTGGCACATTCATAGTATCCACCGACAGGAATAGTGAACAAACCTCTATCTGTATTAGCATCAATTTCATTGCCTGTATAATAAAATTGCATTTGAAATGATTAACCTCATTTTATTTCTAATAGGGGCGGTGTTAGCATGATAAACTAACAAAACATGAAGTATGTAGATTAGTATTAATGAAAAATTTAGAATTAAATAGTTAGTAACTAGATACACATTATTTCGAGTTCAACACATTGCCTACGTAATCATCTTTAGCAAATAAGATGAACGCTTATTCGTTCAATAGCTACAACACTTATATTATTATTGGCATTCCAAAGTTTAAATATATTTTTTTAATGTAATGTTTGATTGAATTTATCTTTAAGGGAAGAGAAAAAAACACAACTAAAGTTATTTAAAGTGGCTTTAATTTTTCAAAGTGTTAATTACCTTTATCAACTGTATAAGTAATACCTATGCTTTCCAGATCATATCTTTCAGAATCCTCTCCAAACACAAATATAAGTTTCCAGTCTAAGAAATCGACATTTGGCGACCATGAAACTGTCAAATCCTGTCTTTTTTGTTCACATGTGCCATTCACAATGATCTTATTTTGCAAGGTTCTATTGAGATACATAGTTGAACTTATGTTATTTTCCTTCATAAAATGAAAGAAAAATAAAGGACGGCTCAATTAAATTACATTTCGTTATTCGTTTAGGCTGATCCATTCAGTGAACAATATTCACATTACGATACAGAAACGATAAAGCTTGAACGTGAATACTATAAAAATGGATGGGATGAGGCTAACAATCAGATCCAGGACGCGCGTCTTGTCCTATTTGGGACTCATCATCTGGATATACATGGATTCCCAAGATGATGCACACTCCAGAGTCCGAACCCAGCACTATTCACTTTAAACACCATTGTGTTATCCACCTAACCACCGAGTTAGGATAGTTACTCACTTGTGCAACGGTTACGAGTTTAAATCCAATTCGAATTGGATCGGACTACCTCGTTGTTAATATTTCGACTGAAATTTAATTTCTTGTTACAATGGCTATATCGAAGCAATTCGCACAGGACGCACATATCCCAAACAAGACTGATCATATTTCAGTAACAATATCAACAACGGGATAATCCAATCTATTTCGAATCGAATTAAATATGAATAAGTTAAGATATGCTACAACACTCAAGATGATATATTTATATATTTCTGTAGGAGTATGTCTTTACATTTTGTGATGTGCTAACTGCTTATGCTTATTTTGGGAGAGTTACATGGTTCACTATGAAAATGAAAAAAAAATTTATCCCCACCAAAAATTTACAAGTAAACACCGAATAGATTTGGTCTACTAATTATATGCAGTAACAGAGTGTAGGAGAGAGCTGTTGGATTCAGTTTGAATTTATGACTTATTATTTGGAGGTTTGAAGTCCCAATGAATAAATCCTCTGAGACTTTAGTAATCCTAGTATAAAAATTGAATTCTTACATCACTATAAAAATAGTTTTTGTAAAGGCACTTCACAGAGATATAGATATTCTCTGTAATACAAAACATATGGAAAAAGACAATGGTTTAAAGAGTTCAATGTTCTGTGAAATTCATCCTGAAAATAATTTATCCGTATTTTTATCTTTTATAAAGCAATAAAAACAACTTTATTTTCGTTATTTACTTTTGAGATGAATTACAATAAATCTAAAATGAGTGACAAAACAATTAATTTGGTGCTTAAAGTTTTAAGGAGGAGCTATTTTAATAAGAATGAACACTCAGAACACTTATGTTACGTTAAACTTTTGAATATGTAGTGTAAGTGGTACTTAAGCAAATATCACTCGGTAAAATTGTGATTTTGTAGTAATATATGAGGTAGTTTTAGAGAAATGAAAATCTAATGCCTTCTCCTTTAAGCTTTCATTCTAATTGTTTCGCAAAATTCAGTAACCAGAAAATGTGGTATAAAATTAATTTGCTATGATAATAGGGGAAAAGTGGAAGATTGATAATTCCGCAGAAAAAGTCAGCTTGGAATTAGACTGTCATAAATTTAGCCTGAGTAAAGGAAGAGAACTGAGTGCATGGTTAACAACCTCATCGCTTCTGGCAAACCGAACGACAATTAATAGCGATAAGTGGAATGTCCGGACCGTATGGGAGACACGGATGGAGAGCATAATAAATAAGTAGATTCAAGCTAGCTGCGCTTGAAGTGAGCTAAGCACCTTCGACACAATCTAGACATAAAAGACGAACTATAGGAAAAATGTTGTATTCTGATCATGAAGGGGAAAATCCACATATCAGGAGTTACACTAATGGAACCCAATAAAGCACCAAAGACGCTTTAAAAATGGAAAACACACGGGTACAAGATCACTAAATAATTCTTAGAAACAAGGGAGGAATGGATTACAATAAATGTCATACAGTGCTTCATGCCTACCAATTATGGCAGCAAAGATGATAAAGACTATGATAGAAAAAGGGATGAAATAAAAAAGTATAGAACTATATGATAGAACTAAGAAGCTAACATGAAAATGTAGTAGACCAAAGAGACCATTTAAGAACAAAGAAAACAGCCAAGCCATTGAGGTTCAAGAGCAGTGAAACAAATGGATAGAGTAATTTGAATAGCTCTTAAACAGACCAGCTCCATCGAACATCAAAGCAATGCATACAGACCTCCCTATAGATGTTACCCCAAAAGAGATCAGTGTGGTCAAGAGTGAGAAAGCGATGGGACCAGAGAGCATATTAGCTGAAGCACTGAAGTCAAATATAGTGGTACCTGCAAAGATGCACAGTTCTCTTCAGAAAGATTTGGGATGAGGAGCAAATACTCATAGACTAGAAAGATACCGAATAAAGGAGATCCTAGTACATGTGAGAACTGCGGAGGTGTCATACACCTATCAGTACAAGGAAAACTTTTCAACCGAGTGATGGACCAAATGGAAGATTGATTACACTCCAGACTTTGAGATCAATAAGCTGGCTTTTGTAAGGATCAATCCTGTACAGAGCAAATTGCGACACCATGGTTCATCGTTGAGCAATCGATTGAGTGGAACTTATCCATATACTCCTTGGTAATGAGAAAACATTCAACAGTTTGGATAGAACCTTATGGAATCTTCTTTGACACTGGGTTATCTGAGAAAATCGTCACCATCATACGGAACTTCCACGAGACACTGGATCGCAATATCGTACATGAAAGGTAGCTCACAGATGCATTCCAGGAGAATACCGGTGTAAGACAAACCTGTCTGCTCTCGTCTTTTCTGATGCTAATTGGATTATAAAGACATTTACATCTCAAGAAAATTATGGACTACATCGTGCACTTTGATACAGCTAAAGAATTTGGACTTCGCAGACGATCTAGCTCTTTTATCCCATACACAATAACGAATGCAGGTAAAGATAGCCAGCTAAGTAAAAGCCTCTGCAGAAGTTTCCTCAACATTTACAAGAGGGAAAGTAAGATTTCGAAGTTCTGCTACATTAGCATCAACAAAAATACACTTAATCATAAAGCTCTGAAGGGGATGGGAACCTTTATTAATATAAGCAGGCAAACTACCAGACATTATCAAAAGCGTTCAGGTATCTAATAAAATGCTGCTTATTCAAAGTATTCTAGGTGTATTGGCCGGAGACCACCGACAGTAATAGAATGTAGCAGAGAACAAAGCATCTCCCAGCTGAGGAACAGACTCTGAAGGTGGACAGGATATACCATATTCAAATACTCAAACGGCATTTCGAATGTTCAAGAGAAAAGGAAGAGAGAACAGAGGAATGTATGGCTTTGAACATTGGAGGCGGACGTTAAGACCACAAAATAGTACTTGGCAGAACCTAGAAAGGAAAGCCGAAGACAGTTAATTGGAGATCCTGATCAGAATAAATATGGTCATTTATCTCGCAACTCCATTTAACATATGAGCTTATCTAAGTTAACACTTAGTACTAGTCACCCCAACATTAACCATTTGGTTTTATTTCATATGACAAACAACCCTTAATTCATATGTTACATTTTGTAAGTGAGGTATTTCGCCATAAACCTAGACGATTTTATGCATTATTAATTTGAATATATAATTGTAGAACCTGATGATAAATTATTGAAAAGGGTATTCTTCGCTCATATAATTGTTTTAATATGATAGGAATTTTTCAGCGATTCAAATCACCTATGCTAATTACAAGATGTTAATCAACTCTAAAGATATATATGTGGTACATCACTACTGTCATTGACTTCGGAGTAAAATATTTTGGACTGACAAGTGACTAATTTGTCTGGATTTATCTACGTAGAGTTAGAAAAGGGTGAGGATCTATACACTAAGCCCTACTTTATCTACAAATCCTTACTTCTAACATGATCTGAACTCGTTGAGTTACCGGTTTGTTTTAAATAGAAGTGACATGATTATGGTAAGATGTTTTAAAATCGACTGAAATGTTCATACTACGCTTTTGGTTGCATACTACATTATGCATTATATTATCAATATGTAATCAATACCAAACAATCAGCCCCATAAAAACGTTATTCGAGTTAAGTTGTCAAATCGTTGGTTAAGGGTAATATTAAGTAGGAAAAGTTGCATCGAAAACTATATTTATTGATAAGATACATATACGTTATGACTTGTTCAGTTTTCAGACAAAAAATTCTTTGTTAACAAACCTCATCTTCGACCGTGATATTTATAATGGACTGTATGGCGACACATTCAGTTAAGAGGAGAATCTCATATCTGTTACGCGGTTTTTGACTAATATTAGTGATTTCCGAAGAAATTGTAGTAGCGGAAGGATCATGTTGTACAGTAAATCTAGTATTTTGAATCGACACTGCTAAATCATGACGAAATCTTCAAACAATGTTTGAATATTCTTACTGTCTAACAAAGAAAACAGAAATGACCAGAAACCTGGATATACCATCCTTCGTTTCCAACTGAATTTTCACTGAACTTTTACAATTAGTGACTAATACGTAGAAAGACCCACCTTTTTCATCATCTGTTGAACAGAAATCAACATTCACTGACAAAAATATATAAATGTATTTTAGCGCCTTACGTTGCATTGGTCTGTTTTACACTTCGGATACTCCGTTTACCAAAATGCGACAGATCAAATAAATACAAAAAAAGTTATGGAAAATACCATTTTTTAGGTAAAAATATACCTAAAAAATTTTGATTTTAACAATACGGGCAGGCTTCAATAGCTAACGTAATGGTACGCTCAAAATAGTTTGTTGGGCCAGTGAAATGTCACTGAACTCTCACCAGATCATCCGGCAGTCGGGTCCCTGAATGTCGAGCAGCTAACCGATCTTTGTCAGAGTCAAGGACAACCAAAATACATCAGTTGATTGCACGCCACGGACTGGCTCATGCAGCATTTGCCGCACTCTGTTCCTTGTACCTACTCTTACTAGTATGTTTGTGTAACAACGTCTTTTGCATTGTAAATTCATCAAAAGAGCCATTGTACCTGGATACGAAGAAAGGGTAGTCCACGTGTGTGACCTGAACGTTGTCTGGTTGGTCACACACTTCCCGTCTAACTCAAGTAAGCCCCCAGTTACACAACACGGATCATCTACGTTAGCGATCTACAAGTTCAAATAATTCTTGACGGAATATAAGAAGCTTTCGCTTAACGGACTTCCGCATCTAATAGTAGTAGATCACTGGTGTTTACAAGTAACAACCTAGTTGTATTAGATGGGAAAACAGAATTAGTAAATTACAGTCAGATACTGTACTTAATCCTCAAGAATATGTCAAGTTTCCCCTACTAGGACATGCTATAGCCTTATAAAAAGTGAAGTTTACCCTGACCTCAAAAATTCAATTATTTAGAAACGAAGTAAGCCGATCAAATAATGGTGGCTTCGTGTCTGTTCACTTGATCTTATTGACCCTATTAGGGATGGTTGTCAATTTGTCCTACGCCATCAGCAGGTTGCTTCTCCTAAAACTATGATGTTGGGGTGAAAAGAAGTTAGATGAATGGTAAATAGTCACGTAAACCATCGCATATCAGAGCCTTTATGATTTTTGAGGGTATCGTGAAAAGTGTTATTGAATGGTGACTATAAGGTTCGCTCGGTAAACCCCCGTTGAAATTCGGTGCTACGTGAGACAGCTTCTGATTTTCTGATAGCGTGCCCCAGCTTAGCGACCGAGAAAAAATCACACTGGGTGCTGCAGTTTCCGGTACACCAAGTCGGTGCTCAGGTTCACTTCTGGGAGTCCTGTTGAGTTGAAGGTGAAGCAAGATTCTTCAGATTTGTGTATTGTACACAAATGTTTCTATCGTCATCAGGTTCTCCATGTCGCAGCCCCTCTATCTCTACGTGCAGTATGCCAACGGTAAGACTGGTTGACATACAAGACACTATACCTACGTGCATAGAAAAGCCAGCACAGTCTACTAGACAGTATGTGCTACCAAGGCCTAAATCTAAAATTTCAAAAACTAAAGAGTCCAATGGTTCACCTCATACATTCCAAAATACTGATAGATATAGTAATGACATCCGACAGTTACAAAACTCTCTATCTGAAATTAACGGCAAACTTGAGCAATTAGGACCCCTCACTCATATATAGGGCCTTGACACAGACAGAAATCTTGAGCAACTCACTAAAGCTGAGTGTATTTTGGAGTTTGTGGCTGAAGAAGTGACGAAGAGAGTGATGTCCTCCTACAATGCAGTTGTGTATAACCTCCCCAACCGCACACACCCATCTAAGTTAAGGGATATTTGCCTTAGAGCATGTGGTATGCCGAACGTTAACTGCAAAGTCATCCGCCTTAGAAAAAAGTCAGACAGATCGACTTGCCCCCTTTTGTTTATGTTTGGCTGTTGTAACGATGCTAAGCAGTTTATTAATTTAAGCAAAAATATTAGCTCACTAATTCCATACAAGAATATAAAAGTTACTCCAGACCTTACGCCCTGTCAACGTCGTGTAAGAAGACGCGAAGCGATAGAATTGAATGCGAGTGTTACAGTTAATAATCAACCAGAGATAGTTTGCAACACAGCAAATAGTTTAAAACACACGAACAATAAGCATGACACCACTCTACATACGGCTGATCACTCTGTTGATCTAGATGAGTCTACAGATCAGAAGCCTTTGGATAAGATACGGACCCCAACTGACACCAAAAACCATAACGACATGACTAATCCCAGCTGTTCGTTCAGTAATGTACTAAAATGTGAGTCGTGTAACAACACACATCCAACCAAACCTGTACACTTGAAAATTTGTCCTCCTAGAGATATTTCACAAGTAGACTTGAATGAACCTAAGTTCATCTCACAGAGACAACGGAAGACTCCAACTCTGAAAATAAAGGGTGGGAAGACAAAACTCATGATACCGAATAGGGAAACACGTAAGATTGAACCCAACTGCTCTATGGGTATCCCAAGAACAGTGAACAGGTTCTCCCCGCTGCTATCGTATAACTTGCCTCCAACACCTCTAAGTTGTAAAATTGGTGGTGGGCTTCAGCGTAGCAAGCTTTCTTACACGCAGACTAACGAAAACTACCAGAGAACTGGTCATCCAAATCACCCCTTGAAGCCTAAAACCATAAATAAGAATCGTCATAATAGGTTTCTCACTCCACACCCTACCTACATTCCCCAGGATCGCAACTGTAATTACTCGCAGAAAGAAAACTTTTCACATCTTTTAGTACCGACCCATCACATAACAACGGCTCCCATGTATAACAACAGTCGCAACTCCTCCCAGTTACGCGTAGCAGACCCCTCTCACGCTAACCTAAATAGCCATAACAGGGGCTACGACTCTAACCGTCAAGACTATTTTGTAAATAACCATACACTTCACAGTAGGCCTGTACATGATTTTTTTGGAATAAGACCCCTAGTGACACCTCTGTTGAAGCATATAGCCCAGGTTATTTCAAACCACATGCAAATCATAAATTTGTTTACTCCGTACAGTTTCCATCAGAGAGTACTCCCACCCTTTGCTCCTGGGTAAACTCCCCAATCAACTTCACCAGCTCATTTGATACATCTCCCACTAAGTCTAGCTATCAAAATACCGAGCTAATGAAGAACATCCAATCCCTCACTTTAAACTCATCTCACACTCACAAGGGATACGACGACTTTATCCGAGATACCCTCACCCATTTTAACTTAGTAGGCCACTTGCTTAATATATGTCTTATCAACGCTCGATCGATCTGCGACAAAAAGACGGATTTAGCCCTGTTTGTATCCATACACGAACCATCACTTATAATGAAATCTGAAGCATGAACTAACAGTAATATTTCCGACCGAAGTATATCTTTTGATAACTATTTTCTATATAGAAGCGAAAGATTGAATGGACGAGGCGGAGGATGCCTTATTTACGTTCACTCTAGCCTAAACTCACTGCTATGTGATATGCCTGAACTAAACAAACTGAAGGATTCGGTGTGGATTGTATTAAAGCCGTCGAATTCCCTTACCTTACTGCTCGGCTGTGTTTATCGTCAACCTAACGCATCAATAGATGAAATAGCAGTATTATCGGAGGTACTCACACTAGCATGATCCCTCTCATTCACAGGCAAGCTCATTTGTGGTGACTTCAATATGCCCGAAATTTCTTGGCTGCCAGTCAAAGCGCCGAGACGTTATGAATCATTTATTGAATGTCTAGAGCTTGAACAATGGACTCAGTATGTCGATAGCCCTACCAGACATCAAAACATCTTAGACTTATTCTTTACCAGTGGCCTCATCCCCAATATTTTGTATTTTGGAAAAAAGTTCCCAGGTAGTGATCATAACATTGTCATATGCAGCCTTAATGTAAAAATCACAACCGATAGAAGTAAAACCGTAACACTTCGTAGAAACTATCGCAAGGTTGATTGGAATAACTTCCACAATTACCTAAGAAGCACTGATTGGAGAACTTTCTTTACCTCAAACAATACCGACACATTAACCAATATATTTTATCACAACATCAAAAGTATCATCAACAACATCGCACCTTTAGAATACTGTTAACCTACGTTCTCCAAAGATCTCTATATACCGGTCAGTACAAGAAGACGTCTTCAAAGACATTGTACTCGATTCCACAACTTAAATGACTTTTCCTCTTTAGTAACGATGACAGAAATACTTGTCCGAACAGAGGCAATAACTAAACAAAAAGCAGTAGCACAGGAAAAACGTGCAGTTGAACTTAATAATAACTCCTCTGCACTCACCATACTACTCCAAAATAAACTTAAACGCTCCAAATCGATAGGGAGTATATTCATTAAAGGCAAACAAGTATACGAAGATCCTAAACTTGTTTCGGAACTATTTCGTGAACACTTTTGTTTATCGCTAACTAGGGGAAAACCACTAAATGATTCAGGACCAATCCCAGTAACTCCCTGTGAAATTACTAATGAAGAATCCAGTGTACAAAATATCTCCAAGGCAATCAGTACATTGAAACACTCCTACACTGATGGCCCAGATGGTATTCCATCTAGCATGCTAAAACGTGGAGGTGGTGGTACGTGTGTTTCGCTTCTCAAACTGTTTTGCGATATCACTCTGTACAGCGTGTCACTTTACTGCCTGGAAAACTGCACATATCATTCCCAAAATTAAAACAGGACCTGAAACAAACGTTGAAAATTACCGGCCTATAAACATAACTTCAGTGGTATCCAGAGTGATGGAAAAAGTAGTTAAGGCGGCTGTAGTCCAACATCTACTAACTAATAATCTCATCTCGACCTCCCAGCATGGATTTCTGAGGTCCAGATCATGCGATACATGCCTAGTAGACTACCTGAATGATATAACCCTGAAACCCGACAGTGGACTCTTTGTGTCAGTCCTATCCTTAGACTTTAAGAAAGCTTTTGATAAG